TGAGCACTTGGCTACTGAAAATTTCAGTGACCTGCTGACTAGGGGAGAAGAGAAAACCGAAGCAGAGCGATATTCATGATCACTGGGATCAAGAAGCAGGAACATTCCCTGTTTTTGTTACCCAGATTTGCTTGTCACAGTTCACATGAATGCTTGGCAAATCTATCTTAATGTTTTAGATCTTACTTCATATTTTAAAAGTCTCTTTCTCTTTTTTAAATGTGAAAGAAAACAGGTCATCATAAAATTAGTTATTAAAATTGTGCCAAAACAAAATTCAGTACTAATTTTAAGTTTAAAGGAAAAGTGAACATTATATAACTCCCCTAACTTCTATAAATAAACGCAAATATTGCATTTAAAGAATGCTTTAGACCTGTTGCCTAAGTCCCTTTGTTCTATTATAATTATACACATTTCTATAGTATATTCAGGAGGTTTTATATTATAAACTATCTTTACTTTTAGAGTAAATGTTATAAACTTATATGACCATTAAATGACAAATTTTTAATATTTTATTCAGCTAGTTTAAAGTGGAATAGGGCCAACTCCATAATTTAGCGGTTAAGGGAAGCCAGATTCCACATGACTGACTGAGGTAGGAATCTAGTCCTGTGACTTGAAAAACATGCTGACGGCATGTATGTGCATGCCTCAGATCCCAAAAGAATGAAGAAATGGAGAAGAGATTGTAGCATGACTACCACTGGAGGGGTATTTTCTTCTCCCTTTCTCTTTTTCTGGGGAGCACAGGCACTCTCTGGCAACTTTTTTAAAAAAGTGTGGATATGTGCAATAATATGTTCTAAGTCATTTTCATAAATTTTGTTTATACATTTTGGGTTTGTAAACTTAGAGATTTACACTGTGCTTTCAGCAAGCAGTAATTTGAATTTTTCAGAGTAACTGCAGGTTTCATTAGGAAGAGATTCTGGTTGATATCAAACAAATTACAAAATTTTAGTACTAGAAAGACAAATGTTTGTGTTTTATTGATTCATCATGATAGTATTCCAGATAAATTCATGTTGCTCACAAGTTTCACGGATTCTTAAAAGAAAATTGTTTGGGAGAGGGGTGGTTATAGTTACTGTTTTTAGAAAAATAATTAATTTTTGATATGCATATGAGTTTTTTAAAAATGTTATTGCTTGTTTTTATTTATGTTTTAATAGATAAAGGAGGCAGCAGACATCATTCAGAAGTTGCACCTAATCGCCCAGGAGTTACCTTTTGATAGGCAAGTTTATTTCTCAAGAACTAATTTGGATATATGGTGAAATTTATGGAATATACATATATATTTTTTCTTTCCTTATATGATTTCTCTTTGCCTTTAATTAAGCAAGAATTTAAAGGGCACTTTTGTTGTACCCTGTGAAGTAATTGACTGGAAAAAATGTGATCTTACTCTTAATATCTAAAATTCATGGTCTATCTTGAAATAATTTAAATCCCTTGCTTGTTTTCTCAAAACAATTTTGATGAAAGTGAATGTCGAAATTGAACTTAAAGTTTGAATTTTTATGTCTTGGCCTCTTGAGAAGCAGGTGGTAGGGTACAGAGAGCCTAAGCATGGAGCTGTTCACCTGCTTTTTCCTGTTTCTAGATGAGGGTTCTTAATTTTTTGAGATCTTGAACGCCTTTGAAAAACTGATGAAAGCATAAAAGTTTTATCAATAATTTAGATACACACAATTGTTGTATACAGTTTTGTGAAGTTTAGACTTTAGTTTGTTCATAGAACTCTTCTAGGAACTTCAGGTAAGGTTTTTAAATGCAGGGTCCTATGCCTTTGTTAAGTTAGGTTCTTCCGAAAATTCACTGTTCATTGGAAGGAAATTTTTTCTTGATTTCCTCTAAGCCATTGAATGTCAGACTCTAATAAAATCTTGGAAATAGTAGATCCTCCATGTGGCCATCTAAAAGAAATATGATTGCTTTGATAGATAATATATGTTATTCTCTTGGTGGTACATGAGGATCTTCAGTTACAAATTGAATGTGGATATATTGCTACACTTAAAGCTTGACCATTACCTCCCAAACATGACAGTGAATTCCCACAAAAAAGTGTAGTTTACTCTCAACTCTGTATCAGCATGAAGAGTTAGCAGTAAGGATAATCTCCTATTCCCTGTTCCTTAGCATTGCAGTATTGTACAGTATTAACTTGCTGTAATGATTTTTAAAGCCACCCACCAAGACCTCTATCATATTTCAGAGTTGGACCATTTACACAACAATGGGTAAAATGAGTAAAATGTCTAGCTTAACTATTACATGATAATAGTTGACTGCATCTCCTAACCCTGTCTCTGTCCTAGTCTTCTCCACTGGAACACATGTGCATATATAGCTGACTCTTTTTTTTTGGAGAGATTTTCACTGTAGGGCACGTGCGCTCGCCAGACAGACAGAGAGAGACATAGAGACAGAAAGCGAGAAATCACCCCCCAGAGGGGATGGGCACGCCGCAATCCCTTCTCCTCCATTCTCCTCTCGGGATCTTGGGCACGCACACACACGCGCCCGGCGTGAGTTTTAAGCCACCGGGTCCGGGACACGAACCGCGGTCGACTACGTGGGAGTCCAGCGACATAGCCATTACGCTAACTGCTGGTTCCCTATATAGCTGACTCTTAACGTAGAAGTTAAAGGCACCCAGCCCTGTGCAGTTGAAAATCTGCATATGACATTTTACTCCCTAAAACTTAACTTATAATAGCTTACAGTTAACTAGAAGTCTTATTAATAACATAATTGATTAACACATATCTTATATCTTCTGTGTATTATACACCGTATTCTTAAAGTAAGGTAGACAGAAGAAAATGTTAAGATCATAAGGAAGATAAATATATTTATGGTACTGTACTGTATCAATGCTGTAAGTTTATACCGTTAACATGATGACTGATTTTTCTGTTAGAACCTACCTCCTTTTCTGGCGTTAAATTCTCCAACTTCAGGTCTTTTTGCTTTCAATTGTCTTACAATGCGTTCACTTTTTCTTGACTCATATTACTGCCTTTCTTGTAGCAATCCTGACCCACAGAAAAACTGCATTCAATATGAAATAAGAAGGTGCAGGGTTTTTTTCACTTGCTGGTGTAGCTGCAAAAACAATTTAATTTTTTTTCTGTTTGCAACGGTCCTTATGCTAGATTCATTTATTTTGAGATGGTGAGCGGCCGTAGCTGCAGACCTTAATATGTGATACATATCAAGCAACTCAACTTCTTGAAATGTGACATTTCTGTGCTTCTTGGAAGTACTTCCAGCATCACTAGTGCTACTTCTTATGGGTCCTGTAGTGTTATTCAAGGTTTACAGTATTGCACTAAACACTCTGAAAAATATACAATCATCACCAGAGATCAGTTTTTGCTGCTTTAGGCAGTTTACTGGAGAGATGAGCTACTCACATGGAGATGATTAGCATCACATGGTGTTGGAGATTGAAGTGGACACTTAACAGCACATGAGCTCACCACACTAGCAACAGGAGGTGGCTACAACATTATTACAATAGTATGGTATGTATTAACAGTTCATTTTATGCAGTTATGATTACTACTGCATCTGTAAATTTTTAACTATTCTCTGACTGCCATGTTTTCCCAAATTGTTGGAAATCTTTAAAATTTTTCCAATGTATTTATTGAAAAAGATCCCAGTACAAGTGGACCCCATAGTTCAAATCCATGTTGTTCAAAGGTCAACTGTACTCATCTTCACCACCTTTCAAGTATATACTTAACAGTTTTAGCCTCTCTAACAAGCCTTGCAGTTGGCTATATATCGTAATCAGATTTAATTTTTTTATACAACAACATGTCCTTATGTGTATTCTGTGATCTGCCATGACTTTGACCTCAATTTTTATTTTGTCTTTCTTTTGGAGCTTTTCTCCTTTCTCTTAAAGTGATTACATAGGATCTCTCAACATTAGTTTTCCATGCTATACATTCCCCCATGACATTTGAGATTTGAAAAAAGTTACTAGTGTGTGGTAGTGTAGTTTTTGAATTTATAAAAATTGGTTACTGTGACCTAGGCACATTGCTAGGCCCTTTTTATAGCCTCTTTTATTTTATTAGAATAATTCATTTGTATATTTTATTTTGTCAGTCACTTTATGATTTTATATTACCATAAATCATTTTATTTTTATGAAATATTTTATCATTTGTCATTTTTATATATATAATTTTGTCATTGTTTTTCTTTAAATAATAATAATGAAAATTTATTTTTAGAAGTCCCCATGGGGGACACAGACAAATAATCAAGTAGATTTAAAATGCAAGTGAATATGAGTATGGACAATAATTCAGTTTTGGAACAAGCAGGGTTGTTAGTGTCTCATGTGGAACTCTTCCTGGTGCCAAAATAATAACCTTTTAATTATATAATACTTTTTAGATTTATGGAAAAGTTTAAAAGGTACTACATAGGGTTGCCATATACCCCTGCTCAGTTTTCTTTTTTGTTAATATCTTACATTATCATGATATATTTGTCACTACTAATGCATTTCATTATCAATTGTTATCTTTCAGATTTTCAGAAGTAAAATCCAAAATTGCAAGTAAGTGTAATTCTATTTATTTATAATTTTTTATTAAGTAAAAAGAGAACAAAAAACTGTGTACAAGCAAAAACACAACAAAAGGAGAGAAAATGGAAACAATGTCATCCTTCTGCCCCATCCCTGAGTTTGATCCCCTTTCCCTTGAAAGGAACCATTATGAGTTTCTTGGGTATTTTGCAGCATATTTTATGGACATACCAATGTAAGGCATAGAAATTGTGTATGCCTGTGTGTGGTTTTACTATCTTCATGTATTTATAAAATAATTGGTAGTATATTATACAAATAACTTTAGACCTTGTATTTTTAGTTTAGTTTTTGTGTTTTTTTGAGAGAGATTTTTGCTATAGAGTGAGTGAGGTTGCTGGCGAGACAGACAGAAAGCAAGGAGTAACCCTCTCCCTCACCCCCCCCGAGGGGTCTGCCATGCCACAATCCCTGCTCCTCCATTCTCCTCTTGGTATTTTGGACATGCATACTCATGTGCCCAGCATGTGTTTCAAGCCGTTGGATCTGGGACTCAAACCATGGTCAACCACGTGGGAGTTCAGCACTTTAACCACTACTCCACCTGCTGGCACCTGTATTTTTTTTTTTTAAGAATTACTTATTCATTCATTCATTCATATTTTTTTTTTTTTTTTTCAATTTGACCAGAGAGAGAAAAAGAAAGAAAGCCACCAGTCCCGTGTGGGAGTGTCCGATGCCTTAACCATCACGCCACCTGCTGGTCCCTGGCCCCTGTATTTTTAGTTTAATAATATATTTTGGATTATTTTTTATTCAGCCATATCTCTGAATAATTTTGGTTTTGAAGCTAAGATCATATTAGCATTTGACTCCTTACAGGATTGATTTGGTTCTTGCCAATCTTTGGATGGTATTTTAAGCTAGATCATACCAGGTTTCTGGAAAGACCACATATCTGTAGGCTCCATGTAGCTTGGGTCACTATTTGGTTAGACCACTGCATAAAAGGTACAAAGAACCACCTCTATTTCCACAGATCTTAGAATAAGGATAATATAGGTGGTTGGACTTCTGGGAAAGGTTTTGTCACTATAAGTTAGCCCAAAGTTCAAGTGTTTGTTAAGAACCATACTAGCTTCGGGACCAGCAGTTGGTGTAATGGCTATGTCACTTGGACACCCATGTAGTTGACTGTGGTTTGAGTTCTAGACCTGGTGATTTAAACTCACACTGGGCGCATGTGTGCCCAAGATCTTGAGAGGAGAATGGAGAAGAGATTGCGGTGTGGCCATTCCCCTCGGGGAGGGGGATGATTTCTCTCTTTCTGGCGAGCGCATGTGCCCTATAGCAAAAACCTCTCCAAAAAAGAAAAAAAAAAAAAAAGAACCAAACTAGCTTTAAGAATGTAGTGAACTGAATACCGCATATCTCAAAATGAAATTTGGTGTTCAGTTCACCATTGAACATGGTAGACTGACCTAAACTTTAGTCAAGAGTTCTGTTGTCCTCCTTTCAGTATTTCTTGTTTAAGATTTTTCCTATTCATTGCAGTCAGAAATGGCATCTGGAGGTTTTTTCCCAGTCAGCTAATAGTTTGAGTAACAGTGGTAAATGGTAGGCAGATTCTAAAGAGCTCAGCTGTTACTAATTTGTAAGTTTTTTGTGTTTTACAGATATAAATTTGTATTTATAGGGGTGCCTCAATGAACTTGAATTACTTTCTTTTTATTTTTAGGTAAATACCATGATTTAGAATGCCAACTGATTCAGGAGTTTACCAGTGCTCAAAGAAGAGGTGAAATCTCCAGAATGAGAGAAGTAGCTGCTGTTTTACTTCATTTCAAGGTAAATAGTAAAAATAAAAAATGAAGCCTAATCTTCAAGATTGTGATTTTACATGTTTGTATTATAGTTTCTGATTTTTTCTGTATTATATAACTATATCATAGTGATAGTTTTCACTGATTAGTATATTTGAATTCACATTTTATCTCTCTCTTCATAGATCATGTTAAATGTTAGGTTTTTAATATTTAAATAAGGATATTATGTTCAATAATATTATCAATGAATTTTTATAGTTGATAAAACCATATTGTCTTTCTTTTTAATGTATACTTTTCAGTCAAGTGTGTTGTGAAGGTTAAAAGCAACAAAACTTAACCATAAGTATCTGGTGGAATGTAGGACCAAAGAGTAGTTGGAATGTGACTAGTGAAAGACTGAAATTAGATTCAAGAGATTTCAAGTGGTAATACAAAGGAATATATTATGGAACTGTCATCCTGGAATTTGAATGAAGGAGGAGAATAATTCCTGAGTGGGAGTGTATTTCTGTGAACATACTAAAAGAAATAGTTTTCCCTTCAATGTGTTTGTTAATATTTATCTCACATTAGGGAAATGGAAGCTGTTTGTTGGACTTTTCGTTTTGGTAACATCTCAGAGTAGTGAGAATAGCTTTTGAGACAATAGTATGCTTCATAATGTTTAACCTGTTTTTATGTATGATTTGTTGATAGGCAAAATTATCATTGTGGCCAGCTTAGTATGACAAATTAGTTTGTTTGAAACGTACTTTGTTAAAATAGATTTCATTTGAAAAGTAAATTTCCGGGACTAGCAGTTAGTGTAATGGCTGTGTCGCTGGACTCCCCTGTAGTCGACCTTGGTTCAAGTCCCAGACCCGGTGGCTTAAACTCACGCCAGGCGCATGCACGCCCAAGATCCCAAGAGGAGAATGGAGGAGAAGGGATTGCAGCATGGCCATTCCCCCCTCAGGAGGGTGATTTCTCACTTCCTCTCTCTCTGTTTCTCTCTGTCTTTCTGGCGAGCACACGTGCCCTATAGCAAAAACCTCTCCAAAAAAAGAAAAAAAAAAAAAAGTAAATTTCCAGGGGCTAGAAGCTGTTGTCCTCCTTTCAGTATTTCTTGTTTAAGATTTTTCCTATTCATTGCAGTCAGAAATGGCATCTGGAGGTTTTTTCCCAGTCAGCTAATAGTTTGAGTAACAGTGGTAAATGGTAGGCAGATTCTAAAGAGCTCAGCTGTTACTAATTTGTAAGTTTTTTGTGTTTTACAGATATAAATTTGTATTTATAGGGGTGCCTCAATGAACTTGAATTACTTTCTTTTTATTTTTAGGTAAATACCATGATTTAGAATGCCAACTGATTCAGGAGTTTACCAGTGCTCAAAGAAGAGGTGAAATCTCCAGAATGAGAGAAGTAGCTGCTGTTTTACTTCATTTCAAGGTAAATAGTAAAAATAAAAAATGAAGCCTAATCTTCAAGATTGTGATTTTACATGTTTGTATTATAGTTTCTGATTTTTTCTGTATTATATAACTATATCATAGTGATAGTTTTCACTGATTAGTATATTTGAATTCACATTTTATCTCTCTCTTCATAGATCATGTTAAATGTTAGGTTTTTAATATTTAAATAAGGATATTATGTTCAATAATATTATCAATGAATTTTTATAGTTGATAAAACCATATTGTCTTTCTTTTTAATGTATACTTTTCAGTCAAGTGTGTTGTGAAGGTTAAAAGCAACAAAACTTAACCATAAGTATCTGGTGGAATGTAGGACCAAAGAGTAGTTGGAATGTGACTAGTGAAAGACTGAAATTAGATTCAAGAGATTTCAAGTGGTAATACAAAGGAATATATTATGGAACTGTCATCCTGGAATTTGAATGAAGGAGGAGAATAATTCCTGAGTGGGAGTGTATTTCTGTGAACATACTAAAAGAAATAGTTTTCCCTTCAATGTGTTTGTTAATATTTATCTCACATTAGGGAAATGGAAGCTGTTTGTTGGACTTTTCGTTTTGGTAACATCTCAGAGTAGTGAGAATAGCTTTTGAGACAATAGTATGCTTCATAATGTTTAACCTGTTTTTATGTATGATTTGTTGATAGGCAAAATTATCATTGTGGCCAGCTTAGTATGACAAATTAGTTTGTTTGAAACGTACTTTGTTAAAATAGATTTCATTTGAAAAGTAAATTTCCGGGACTAGCAGTTAGTGTAATGGCTGTGTCGCTGGACTCCCCTGTAGTCGACCTTGGTTCAAGTCCCAGACCCGGTGGCTTAAACTCACGCCAGGCGCATGCACGCCCAAGATCCCAAGAGGAGAATGGAGGAGAAGGGATTGCAGCATGGCCATTCCCCCCTCAGGAGGGTGATTTCTCACTTCCTCTCTCTCTGTTTCTCTCTGTCTTTCTGGCGAGCACACGTGCCCTATAGCAAAAACCTCTCCAAAAAAAAAAAAAAAAAAAAAAGTAAATTTCCAGG